GGACGTAATAATGTCGATTTTCTCAGAAAATGGGAGTATGCCTTACTATGACTAGAGTAGGAATTCCTTTGGCTTCCAGTCAGCGGTGTATAGTTTTCGCTTCAAAAACCGGCGGGAGATTCATCGGCTATTGAGGTTACGTAGTTCACCTATCTATCAGTGGATGAAAAAGAAAAAAATAATCAACTAGCCCGCTCCTGACGATATTGACTAGTAAGTTTTGTATATTTTTACCGAAATCTCTCTCGGGCTTAAATTGCACGAGCTGCGAGAGAAGGAGTTACGCACGAATTCTGGAAACTCACTTCTCTAGGGTGTAGAATGAACGCATTTATTTCCAGACTGAGAAACGAAGGTTTTGTTCGTATGTACTCCTATCTCAATATTTATTATCAACTTTTTTGAGAATTTTTAAAGCGGCTTTCTCTTAACTCCATTTTTTAACGAAGAGTATTTTCATTTTCGACAAAAAGTGATCTTTAATGCGCGTAATCTGTCTTCCTTAATGCATATCATGCATCTCTTGTGATCAACTATCAACATAAAATGTATGTAAAGGACAAAAATTGTCTAGGATGAGCGAAGGCGACGTCGCTGTAGTGTCACTTGCTCCGGCGCCGCTACCAGATGTGCAGTATCCCTTAAAGGTGGTCTACTGTGGAGGTAGGTTCGAACCAATTTTGTTAGCTTAGAAAATAGCAATTTCCTTTTCAACTTAAATTTCTTCCATTGCTCGCATACTTCATGTGGGGTGAGAAAAAAGTTCTGATTGACTGAAAATGTATGTCTTAATGTCAGACTCTTTTCTAGCAGCGGGTAACCATAGTCTGAGTATGGTTTTTGAAGGTTCCACTATATGAAAATGCCAATCTCTGTCCTCTCTTCGTTCCTCCTTCCTCTATTTTCTTATTTTTATGCAACTTAGTATGGTGGAAGAATAGCCTAGCTCAACGGATTTTGATATTTAACATAACTTTAAGAATGTTCTATGCCATTGGAGTACTGTGACTATTCTGGAACCACCGACA